GCCGGGGAACTTGGGCCCCGGGATTTTTCTCCCTTGCCTGAAGGCCCCTCCTTTGAAAGGGTCTGCCCGCTCGGGCGCGCCCCTGCCTGGTGCACCTCCACGAACCGGCAGGGCGTCTTCTGACCTTTGGTTTTGTAAGGGTTTTTTTCCTAAGGGGGTTTAAATGGCCGGTTCGAGGCGCCTGCGGAACAGATCCGGACAGATGGAGAAGGGCTGTTGGACGGGTATGTCTACACCCGCTGAGAGTCGGCCTTCTCTGCCATGTTCCAGCCCGGGTTTGGGCAGGCCCCTGTCGCTCCCGTGCTGAGCAAAGCACCCCGGTGGCGGTTCGCATTCACTGCCCGAGGCCCTGAAGTCCTCGCCTCTCCCACGCCGTGGGTTTCCCTGCTGACGCCAAGCGTTGGTTATTTTTTGTTTTCTAGAAAAATAACCGAACATGGGCAAAGGAGATCCCAAGAAGCCGAGAGGCAAAATGTCATCATACGCATTCTTTGTGCAAACTTGCCGGGAGGAGCACAAGAAGAAGCACCCGGATGCTTCCGTCAACTTCTCAGAGTTTTCTAAGAAGTGCTCAGAGAGGTGGAAGGTAAGGGGGCCCAAAACCCGGATGCCGCGGGGTCATTCCAGAACCGCCAGCGAGCTCCAGGTCCGGGGTTTTAAAAGCCTCGCCGGCGTTCCCATCGAGTAGCCAAGGAGGCCGGCTTTATTCGAGTGGGTGCTTCGAGGGGTGGTGTGTTGACGACTTATGACTCGTGTTTCCAAATAACCTGTTTCGTAGACCATGTCTGCTAAAGAGAAGGGAAAATTTGAAGACATGGCAAAGGCCGACAAGGCCCGTTATGAAAGAGAAATGAAAACCTATATCCCTCCCAAAGGGGAAACAAAAAAGAAGTTCAAGGATCCCAACGCTCCCAAGAGGCCTCCGTGAGTATCTTGCCTGTTTTTCCTTTCCAGACGTGTTTTGCAGGAGGCGTCTGACAGAAATGGAGTGAGTCACCTGACCAGTTTAGGGGGTCCAGTCCGAAGTTTCTGGGCTGAGGCTAGTTCACGCAGGTGCATCTAACTATTACAAAGATCCCCTAGGAGGGGAGTGTTAGGGCATTTGCATTGCCTGTGGATTTTCTGATAGAATTTTGACCCTTTTATTTCTTAATAAACACTCTCTCTGAAACCCGCAACTTACAAAACGTTCTTCTGGGCCCCTCGCTAGTACAAGCTATGTAACTGAATTAAGCCTTGGTCAGGAAGGGTATTGAGCATACTGGACTAAGTCCCGGGCCACCGGTGGATAGCAGTGCAGTGTGCCTTTAATCGTGTGTCTGTGATCTGTTAACACCCTGGAATTAAATGTATCTTTTTTAGCTCGGCCTTCTTCTTGTTCTGTTCTGAGTATCGCCCCAAAATCAAAGGAGAGCACCCCGGCCTATCCATCGGGGATGTCGCCAAGAAGCTGGGAGAGATGTGGAATAACACTGCTGCGGATGACAAGCAGCCTTACGAGAAGAAGGCCGCGAAGCTGAAGGAGAAATACGAAAAGGTGAGGAGTGTGGGTCTGCTTGGTAGGAAGATGGACAAGAGTGCCAGGTGTCGGCTGATTGCACATGATATCTTAATTTCCTGCCTTCTTAGGAATTTCTAAGGATTGGAGGTACAGTCACGGTTTCTAGTATAACAGCTACCTTAAGGATGCTGCTGGTGGTTGAAGTTCTTTGCCTTTTAAGAAATACAGAGGACCAAAAACATGGTTCTAAGTTGGTTTTGTTCCCCCGGTGTATCTTCCTTTTTATAAAAATTCTGGAAGTCCCTCGGAGTCGAGGGGACTGTTTTTAAATGGTCCGGCATCCAATACAGAGATGGAGTGTGGGCTATATCTTTTCATCTCGTACCCTGAAACATTTGTCTCTTCAGATGCTCAAAACACCACGGCATCAGAAAGTTAAATTTCCAGCCTGTTCAGTAAACGAATCAGATGGAGGAAATCTATCATTGCTGTGCTTCGAATTGAAATATTGAGTACTTGGAGTTAATTTTCAGCTTCTTTCGCCACCCCGAAAAATACCCATTTCGAGATCTTTTTTTTTTTTAAACCTAGTTGCACGCTTGCTGGCAAATTACTTGTTTGTAACAACACGTTTCTATGGAATGGGGTCTGACAGCATAAACCTGTGGAGTGCTTTTTTACATTTCAGAAGGTGGCAGTGTCTACCCTTTAATCAAAGTCTCTGCATTCTAGTCCTAATAAACTGGAGTTAGGATGTGGTATGTGATTGCACCTCAACGAGGCATAACTTGGCAAATAGGAGGCCGTGCCATTTCACGAGTTGCAGATTGCTGTCACCGTGGTGGTCTCCTCTTTTTATGTGCGTGTGTTGAAGTTCTGGCTGTCCTGGAGTGGCAGTGGATCGGTGGCGGTGGGACGCCAGCGTCACTGGGACCCTGGTTCTCTGTGCTTTTGCCGTGCTGCTTCTGCTTAATGGTGTTTTCTCTCCTGCCCGTCTCCCTTTATCTTGGAAGGATATTGCCGCTTACCGAGCCAAAGGCAAGCCCGATGCGGCGAAAAAGGGAGTCGTCAAGGCGGAAAAGAGCAAGAAAAAGAAGGAAGAGGAGGAAGACGAGGAGGACGAAGAGGACGAGGAAGAGGAGGAAGACGAAGAAGACGAAGATGAAGAAGAGGATGATGATGATGAATAAGTCGGTTCTAGCGCAGTTTTTTTTTTCTTGTCTATAAAGCATTTAACCCCCCTGTACACAACTCACTCCTTTTAAAGAAAAAAATGGAAATGTAAGGCTGTGTAAGATTTGTTTTTAAACTGTACAGTGTCTTTTTTTGTATAGTTAACACACTACCGAATGTGTCTTTAGCTAGCCCTGTCCTGGTGGTATTTTCAAGAGCCACTAACCTTGCCTGGTACAGTATGGGGGTTGTAAATTGGCATGGAAATTTAAAGCAGGTTCTTGTTGGTGCACAGCACAAATTAGTTATATATGGGGATGGTAGTTCTCTCATCTTCAGTTGTCTCTGATGCAGCTTATACGAAATAATTGTTGTTCTGTTAACTGAATACCACTCTGTAATTGCAAAAAAAAAAAAAAAGTTGCAGCTGTTTTGTTGACATTCTGAATGCTTCTAAGTAAATACAATTTTTTTTATTAGTATGGTTGTCCTTTTCATAGGTCTGACATTTTTCTTCTCGAGGGGAGGCTAGTCTTTTGCTTCTGCCCATTTGGGGTCACATGAGTTACGACTGTTTTATCTTTTTCATGTAACTAGCCGATAAAAAGCTTTCCTTGACACACCCTGCATGTCATGATGGGGGTAATACAAGTTCAATTGAGACACTTTTCCACCATGACTGAAACTCCAGAATCTTGATCTGCTGATAACAAATTTCACACAGCCCACTTCTATTTACAAAGTAAAGCGTGTAACCAGGCTACTCACAGCATGGGATGGTGAGAATCAAACATTTTGAAAGTCTGTCCTTGAAGGACTGAGAGAAAATGTGTTCTGATCTTTACACGAGGACTCTAGAATTCTTTAACTCCCATTACCATGTAATGGCAGTTATATTTTGCAGTTCCCACGTTAAGGAAGACCTGAGAATGTAGCCCCGAAAGCGTGAGCTTAAAATACAAGACTGTCATGTAAGTTTTTTTGTTGTGTTAGTTCCGGTGAAGTGCTGGCTGTAACTGTTTAACCCATTTATCTGAATATAGACTGCTCGAGAAACTTGAGACTCCATTAAAAGTATTTTTAATTAACTGGGCCGCTTTTCCAATGATGCCACTTTTTAAATTGGGTGTATTTTCCTACACTGTGGTTTGCCCCTTTATAGATCAGATAGCTAATGGAGAAAGAGGACGCTTGAGCTTTGCATTTCAGTACAAATTATTCAATTTACTTGAATTTAACTTTTCTTTACAAAACCCAAACTCATTCATTAGTCCTGTTTATCTGCTTAGCAGTTTAGGGAACAATTTGGCAATTTTGTGGGGTTTTTTTGAGATGATCGTTCTCTTAAAGTGCCAGTATTTTAAAATAGCGTTCTTGTAATTTTACACGCTTTTGTGATGGAGTGCTGTTTTGTTATATAATTTTGACTTGGATTCTTTCCATTTGCATTTGTTTATGTAATTTCAGGAGGAATACTGAACATCTGAGTCCTGGATGATACTAATAAACTAATAATTGCAGAGGTTTTAAATATTAGTTACATGGCCTTCACTTAAGAATTGAAGATTTTGTTACATATTAATCTTGTTTTCCATGATACCTCTCAGCGACACCTTCTAAATAAGTATAAGGGCTGGCAAGTTTTTCCCTTTAAAAATATTCACTTTATCTTATAAATAGGTTAATGGGCTGATAAAAATGGGTTTGTCAAACGTGACAAATACTCAGTGGATGCTATATATATAAATGAGGAAAAATAATTTTACTTGCAAAATGATTAGACACGATTTTTTTCAAACAAGGCACATGTGAGTGAAAAACAGTGGCATAAAGGCTACGATTGTGTCAACATTTATTAGATTTTTTAGTCAAGGGGAACAAATGACTCGTTTGATCTGATTTAGGTGAAGTTTCTACTATAGCTGTAGAATCACCATTGTCAACATTACTAATTCTGGTCCATTTAGAAGTGAATTCTGGTTCAAGGGCACTTCTCTGGAACTTTAATGGGTGTGTCATAATGAGTACTGTTAAGATGTTGAGAATGGAACAAAATTTGGGGGGAGATAACTTTACCTCAGGTCTTAACAGGAAAAAATGGGCAAAACTTGACTCTTCAAGAATCTGCAAACTCATCGTGGGGCTGGCCTGACAGTGATGCCCTGACGGTAGATGTCTAAACCTCAAGTAAATAGGCAACTGAGATAATTCAGGGTAAAACCTTGTTATAACTGGACATGCTTTTTTGTTAAATGTATCGGAACTATTTTAATGCCGAAATAGTTGCAGTGCTGTGGTGTTTCAAGATTTTCCAAAGTTTTTAAAAAATTTTTTGAGCAGACGGGGTCTTGTTACGTTGCACAGGCTAGTCGGAACTCCTGGGCTCAAGCGATCCTACTTCAGCCTCCCAGTGTGCAAGGTGTGGACCACAGTGCCTGGCCTGTAGAATTCTTTTTGACATCAAGAAAAGATTAAACATATCAATTCTAGTGTCTTTGGATTTTTTTAATTGGTATGTGGTTACTGATGAAGATCTAACTAAAATAATCCAGTTTCCTAACTTGCCTGTGTCAAATTTGAGAGGTATTGGCTATTTTTTTTTTTTTTTTTTTTTTTTTTTTTTAGTTGTGGTCTTACTGTCACCTATGCTGGAGTGCAGTGGCACACTCATGGCCACTGCGGCCTCTACCTGCTGGGCTGAATTGATCCTTCTGCCTCAGCCTTCCAAGTAGCTGGAACTGTAGGCGCACACCACCACACACAGCTAATTCTTTTTATTTAATTTTATTGCACTGATGAGGTCTCACCAAGTTGCCCGGGTTGGTCTTGACTCCCCGGCTCAGGCAATCCTGCTTCGGCCTCCCAAAGTGCTGGGGTTCCAGGCATGAGCCATCACGTGATACTTACTGAAACTTCGATGATCCTTGGTATTTGCTATCTTTACTAATCTTAGAACCAAATCTGGAAAAGGAGACCTTTTGTGTGTCCTGTGCCCCCCAAGGGTTGATTAAGTGGTAATGATATGAAAAGTGCCTATGTGGCACAAATCCGTCATACCACAGGATTTTCCGGCTGCCCAGGGAGTCGTAACCGCCATAACCATTGGTAAGACACTAGGGTGTATCCAGCTGTATTGAAAACTGCACGGGAGAGACAAAATTGATTTTTGGCCGAAAAACATGGCCACTACCTTGCCTGGCATCCCATAGTCTATGATGAACGTTCCCATTTAAGTTCACTTGGTAAAACACGCTTCCTGAAAGGGCCTGAGAAAACTTTCAGTACCAGGAAGCCCCTCTGCCCATGGTGTTAGCCCTGCAGAGATCAAAACACAGCTTATGTCGCAGAATTAACTGTTGCTCAAGTGTGAACCACTGGCTAGTAATTAGACTGTTTTAATTAATGAGGGATTGTGGTCATGGTTATTTAAATTTGGCATAGTTGGGCTTTATGCCACTTGCAAGTGACCCTTGAAATGCCTTTTATTTTTGAGTAGGAGTCTCACTCCAGCCCAGGCTGAATGCAATGGCAGGATCACGGACACCACAGCCTCGACCTTCTGGGCCATCCTTCCACCTCAGCCTCCCAAGTAGCTAGAACCACAGGCGCGTGCCACCGCGCCCTAATTTTTTGATTTATTATAGCGACGCGGTCTCACCAAGTTGCCCAGGCTGATCTCGAACCCCTGGGCTCAGGCAGTCCTCTTGCCTCGACCTCCCAAAGTGCTGGGATGACACATGAGCCCACCACGCTCAGCGTTGAAATGCCTTTGAAAACTAGATAACTAGGTGCAGTGACTCACGCCTGTCATCCCAGGACTTTGGGAGGTTGAGGTGAGAGCCCAGGGGTTCGAGACCAACTTGGGCAACTTGGCAAGATCTTCTCTCTAAAATAAATGAAAAAATTAGCCGGGCGTGGTAGCGCGCACCTATAGTTCCAGCTCCTTGGAAGACAGGCTGGAGGATTGCCTGAGCCCAGCAGGTCGAGGCTGCGTGTGGCCGTGAGCATGCCGCTGCACTCCAGCCTGGGCGACAGAGTGAGACTCTGGCTCAAAACAAAACAAAACAAACAAACAAAAACGAGATAAAAGGCAGAAAATGGTTTGGATCGTGATTCAGCAAAAAAGTGGAAAGTGACTCATTTTCTTGTCCCCTTCTGAAGGCACAGCCCTGCTGACCCTTGCTACGGCTTGGGAAATTCCCTGGGTCTAAGCCCGGCTGCTCCCTGGAGTCAGGGGGCAAAATGGCTCCACTGCAAGCTGGCTGCTGTTTCGCGACACATCCTGGCACAGAAGCACAGCACAGCCTGGAGTGACACCGACGTAACTTCACATGCCACACTCCAGAGTGTGCCCATCATCCAGTGGGTTTCAACCTAAAACAGATCCCATCTACCAGGAGGAAATCGAATCACCTTACCCTTTAGGATATCCATTGGTTTGGACCGTCTAAATCATTTTGTCATTGTTTTGAGTCAGAGTCTCACTGTCCCTCAGGCTGGAATGCAGTGGCATGCTCACGGCCACCGCAGCCTCAACCTGCTGGGCTCCAGCGATCCTTCCACCTCAGCCTTCCAAGCAGCTGGAATTACAGGCACACACCACCACACCCGGCTCGTTTTTTGATTTATTGTAGAGACGAAGTCTCACCATGTTGCCCAGGCTGGTATTGAACTCCTGGGCTCAGGAAATCCTCTCGCCTCAGTCTCCCAAAGTGCTGGGATGACAGGCAGGAGCCACCGCGCCTGAACGTTTTAATTTTTTTAGAAATGGGAGTCTCGCTATGTTGCCCAGGCCGGGCTCTGACCCCTGAGCTCAAGCGATCCTCCAGCCTCAGCCTCCAGAATAGCTGGGACTACATGCACACGCCACTACACCTGGCTTAAGTGATAGAATTTATTGGGCAGCCACTAAAAAGGAAGAAGTCCTGTAAATCTGCTGTAATCTGAGGATACATTTCCAGGTGAGCCCAAGGAATGGTGGGTATGCAGACACTGAAATCAATCTAGCAATAGAAAATCAGTGGGAGGCGGGTTGGAAAGGTCTGCTAAATCATGACGTCTCGTCTTTCCTTAGTCACCAAGTTCAGTCACAAAAGTGTCAGTCCATAGTGTGGTGCCCTGTGATATACTGGATCATTCCCTTGCTGATGGCAAGTTGTTTCCAGTTTTTCGCTATTTCTAGCAACACTGCCGTGAGCATCTGGGCCCATTTCTCTCCGGCAAGGATAGGTCTTTAGGATGGATACCTCGAGGTAGAATCGCTGAGTCAAGAGAGATTTGTGTTTGAGCAGAAATTGAAAAGTTGCAGCTGGGCGCAGTGGCTCACACCTGTCATCCCAGCACCTTGGGAGGTGGCGGCGAGAAGATTGCCTGAGCTCAGGCGTCTGAGACCAGCCTGGGCAACTTGGCAAGACAGAATCATCTCTACAATAAGTTAAAAAAATTAGCCGGGTGTGGTAGCATGCACCTGTGGTCCCAGTTACTTGGAAGGCTGAGGTGGAAGGATCGCCTGAGCCCAGCAGGTTAAGGCTGCAGTGGCTGTGAGCGTACCCCTGCACTCCAGTCTGGGTGACAGAGTGAGACTCCAACTCAAAAAGAAAAAAAGAAAGAAAGAAAGAAAGAAAAGTTGCCCCCCAAGAAGATGTGCTTAGGCTGTAAAATACTTTAACAACGATTTTATAATTAATCAAGGTCCTTACCAGTTATTCTTGGGCTCGGTGAAATAACTGTCCATTTTTAAAAGATGTGAGATTATAATACTGAGATATTGTCATTTGTCCAGAACTACCCAAACGGAATCAGAAATGGGCAGAATTGATGGAAAGACCCTGAGGACAGTCAGTGCTTACTTACACTGCTAAACCATTTCTCTAAAACAAGTACTGCAAGAACTAAGCAATCCATTGTGTGAAAATGAGAAAGTTCCTTCCCATGGGCGTCCTCCATCCTGCGTGGAAGCGTCTTGCAGGTTTTCTGGCTTTTTGGTAAGACCTCATCTCTACAATAAATTTTAAAAAAGAAAAAATTAGCCAGCGTGGTGGCGTGTGCCTGTAGTTCCAGCTACTTGGAAGACTGAGGCCGAAAGATCACCTGAGCCCAGCAGGTCGAGGCTGCTGTGGCCGCGAGTGTGCCACTGTGCTCCAGCCTGGGCGATGGAGTGACTCCGACTCAAGCCTGAGGCGACTCAGCGGAGAGATACTGTGGCCCGCACCCCACCCCCAACCTGAGTTCAAGGGTAGCCTGGTGCTGTTCAGTCCTCTGGGATCAGCCAGGCTGGGGAGGGGCACAGCGCATGGACTAGGCCCACTGGAGCTCAGGGGCAGGGAGGCCACCAGAGAGCCTCTTTTCACAAGAGGGACAAGAGTTGCCACTGCATTGGGAACCGTCAGGAGAACAGGATGGACCCCCAGGGTAGGGTCCTTGCCTGCCAGAGGTGAGGGCGCTCCCAGGACCACCACAGTCCATGCTGTGCACTTTTAAAAAATTTTTTAGTCAGAGTCTCACTGTGTTGCCCAGGCTAGAGTGCAGGGG